CAAACGACCATCATGACCCCACTGTATGTCATATTCGCCCACTTCCACAGCACTCATCTTACCTTTTCTCTGCCTTTGCGTCAGTCTGCCTCTTTAATAACTATGAATCATTATTCTGTTCCCAGAATCAGGCTTACCATTCAAAGCAATTGCCTCTTCCAAAGTGCCTCATCTTAAAGTAGCGAAGGCTGGACAACTAAACACCTCAATATATCTTTTTATCCTCGAAAAGCCACTTGTAAACATGCGCCACAACAAACTCCATTTGAGTATAGCATTTCTAATGCCCCTGAGTTAATTTCCATAAATGTGGTACACGCGGGGCAATGCATTCCAAAATAGAGCGGACTTTGTGGCTATCATGACAATTTATTATAATCCCCTGAAAAGGAGTACAATGAAAAGTGGAGGGGGGGGGGAGGGGTAAAGAGTGACGAAGTCAAGTTCCACGACAGGCAGGCGGGGTGGAGAAAATGTAGTATACGAGTTGCGTTTCTTAAAAAAAAGACCGACGTGCTAGCGGAGTACATATTATGAATGAAAAAAACGGCAGTTTAGGCGAAAGGGGTGGAAAAGAGGCTACGAACCGGAGAGGAGAGATGAAGAAAGAGGATTCTCCTCAAACGCGCGAACAGTATCACCAAAACGGGCAGCAATTCGGGGAAAACAGGAAATCATGTACACAGAGGGTTTGGTTCGGTTCGGTTCTTCATCTACTGTAGAGCAGCAGCAGCAGTATCAACTCACAAAGAAGTGTAGACCTTGCACATAGCGTCGGCTCCTGCAGAGGCAGCAAAAGGCATGGTAGGATGCATTGCCACGGCATGGATAGACTCATTGTTCTTCACTCGATGGCATGTCATCTCCTGAACGCAAGCCCGACTCTCAAGATCCCACAAACGGATGGATGCATCGTGACCTTTAGAGAAAGGAAAGAGAGCAATAGGTATATATGTTCGGAGGACTTTCAGGGAGAAATTTAGACATACGGTTCAATAAAGAAGATCATAAATGTCAAAAGGTTGAAACTTCTTTGGTGTAAAATGGATGGAAAAGTAATAAATGCTGCTACATATAAACTAGTGACTACGACTTATTCTAAAGAGCTCGCAATTATTAATTATGAACCAAAGTAGGAGAACTGTTCGTGATCTCATATGAAACATTTTCAGAGTTACCAAGAGACACGATACAAAAGAAGTCCGCTTGAATCAGTGGCCTAGTAATGAAGAAGGTGTTGATATCAAGAAGTTATGTTAGATTCCTATTGTATGCAAAAGTTTGCGGGGAGACAAATGTACTCCACTGCAAAAGCAACAAATTACTGCAGGTTCAAGTGATAATTGAATCAATAAACCCTCAAAAATAGACTTTATAGGCTTACTATTCTAAGGCCCATTGTCAGAAATAAAAGGAGAGAGGAATGAATCAGCAAGTGTGTGTGTGCTGAATGCTGCCGGATTTCTCTTCTCGACAAAGGAGGGCACGCGAACACACATGCACAGGCACCGTCGTGTGTGCATGTGATTTACTGTGCGGGCGCGCACACAGATCTCTTGGCGTCTTGCCAGTTAGCTAAGCAAGGCTAGGCGAGGCGAGGCTAGCTGACCTGACGTAAGACCCTTGGAGGCAAACACCAAATACACGTACAGCTTACTGCAAACGCAATAATACCCAGGAGTAAAGCATTGAAATGGAAGCTACCATAGAGTTTAGTACATTAAAAGTTTCTTCAAATGGCAGTATATCCCACTTTAATAGAAATATCTCGGGATGCACCTCCATTATAGGGAAATATCGGGTTAGGTAAATTAAAATCTAATACCTCTTATCAACGCCAAGCGTCAAAAAAACAGACCAGCCGATGTCTTTCCACACAATGAAGGCCTTAATCAGGAGAGAGTTCCAGATCTCAAGATGCAACGAACTTAAAGCTCGAACAAAAGAGAAACAGTGGACAGTGACACTCTCCGACATAGCCGACTGACCAAGAACCGAAGCCGTTGCTGAGTTTAGACAACGTACCGGACATGGTTGCCTGGCAAAACACCTTCACAGATTGGGAGTATACACTCTGGCGAAGCACCTTCACAGATTAGGAGTATACACATCAAAACACCTTCACAGATTGAGAGTATACACTCAACCCACATATACTCTATGTAACCTACAGGAGGAAATGGAGAAGTCCCACCTGTCTATGTGACCTACAGGAGGAAACGGAGAAGACCCACCATATGTAACCTACATGAGGAAATGGAGAAGACCCATCTGATCTGTAACCTACAGGAGGAAATGGAGAAGACCCACCTGATGTGAAACCTACAGGAGGAAATGGAGAAGACCCATCTGATTCTTAATCTAAGAGAGTATACACTCAACCCACATGCCCTCTGTGTAACCTACATCAAAACACCTTCACAGATTGAGAGTATACACTCAACCCACATATACTCTATGTAACCTACAGGAGGAAATGGAGAAGTCCCACCTGTCTATGTGACCTACAGGAGGAAACGGAGAAGACCCACCATATGTAACCTACATGAGGAAATGGAGAAGACCCATCTGATCTGTAACCTACAGGAGGAAATGGAGAAGACCCACCTGATGTGAAACCTACAGGAGGAAATGGAGAAGACCCATCTGATTCTCTACAGGAGAAAATGGAGAAGACCCACCTGATTCGGTGTTCAAAGGAGGAAATGGAGAAGACCCACCTGATTCGGTGTCTAGCGATCAACCCACATGCCCTCTATGTAACCTACAGGAGGAAATCTGGCGAAGCACCTTCACAGATTAGGAGTATACACATCAAAACACCTTCACAGATTGAGAGTATACACTCAACCCACATACTCTATGTAACCTACAGGAGGAAATGGAGAAGTCCCACCTGTCTATGTGACCTACAGGAGGAAACGGAGAAGACCCACCATATGTAACCTACATGAGGAAATGGAGAAGACCCATCTGATCTGTAACCTACAGGAGGAAATGGAGAAGACCCACCTGATTCTATACAGGAGGAAATGGAGAAGACCCACCTGATTCGGTGTTCAGTACGCCCCAGAAGACAGCTAATGAACTGCTATATATGTCAACTAAGGGACTAATGATGAATATCATAAAGCCTGTCATAGTAAAAACTAAGAAAACACTGCGTGGTGTACTTCCAAAAAAAAGAATTTAAAGATAGGATTGTTGACTCGAATTAATTGATACTATTTCAAGCTCGTGATAAGACTGACTTAGTACTAATTGAGTACACAACCCACCCCATCTCGTGATGAGATTTAACAATGGCAGGCAATCTCACTGGCTGAGAAGCTAACCAATGCTAACTAAAGTGATAAGAAAAAGTCTATAATTACGACCTCTTGTGAAATGCAATTATCAAATCCATTCAGGGACTTACTTCCTGTGAGAACGTAAAGATCATGAGGATCAACAGTGAGACAAGTGACCGCCTCTAAGTGAGTGACAACAGTGGCGACGCAAGCCTTGTCCGCATTCCCGCTTTGTCTGGTGAGATCATAGAAACGAATACAACGATCCTCGTGACCGGTGATGGCCAGTGAGAAGGTCTGGTACATTGCAACGGAGTGGATACCGCGTGGACCCCATTCGGCTTTCGGGTAGGTAATTGCATCTAAAGAGAAAAGAAGAAACGCAGTTAAGGCTATTTCGCAAACGAAGCTTTTCTAAGGTTATTAGATGACACACTCCAAAAATGTCTAACTGGTCATTGCTAATATATAGAGCAGAGGTGCGTAATAGACTTACCTCCACGTGGTGCACCCTGGGCAACGTATACTCATACGACAAAAAAGGCCTGTTAATTGGAAGTTTACTTCTGACTTCAAACTATCATGACCCAACTGTTTGTCACATTCCACCACTTTCACAGTACTCACCTCACCCTATTTTCCACCTTTGTGTCTATTTCTTTTACATTTATTAATCACTCTTCTCTTCCCTCTTCCCCCTCTCGACTTGTTTTCAATTTGATGTTCCTTCAACTCTGTGAAGCCTGAAGTCAACTAAAGGGCTAATGATAACTATCATAACGCCTGCCATTTGATATAAATAAATATATAGAGCAGAGAAACTCATAGTAGCGAATCGCAAGAACTGAGATCGATTTGGCTCAAATTCTGAAGCCCCTAAAGAAACATCAACAACAATTATATTAAAATTTACCCTTCCTCGTTACTAGTGCATTCTTTTAGCTCGAAGTGCTTGAAATACTTGAATTAAGGTTTCAACAGTATATCAGGGTGCGCGTTTCCTTACCTAGCACTATTACCACCCTCCAAACTTCGTAAATAAGAGCATCTCGACTAGATCAAAAGTACAAAATACACAAGAACCCACTTATTTGATAGAAACTTTAAAACGCAGTGATTTGGAAAGACGAGAAGTTAGGAAATAAATAAGTGTGCATCTCAATTAATGATTTCTGACACATTCTTTGCAGTTAAGAACATCTTCGATCACATAATTTTCTTTCCAGACTTGTGACTAAAGCAAATTGAAATAACTAAGCCGCATTCAAAGCAGTGGTTAGCTGAAAATTGCTCTATATTTTAATTAAAGTTAGTTGGCAGAAGAAGTCATCGTCATTGCCCAAACAAAATTGATCGATTCCCCACCAACATCCCCCCCCCCAATGCTGTTAAAACAAGAGAAGTATATTCAGGTAGAAGGTGATATCTCACTTGTATCAATAGGGGCGGCTTGAGTGGTGAAAGGATCACTTCCGAACTCAGAGTCAGTAGCAGGTCCTCCAGTTGGAGATTCTGTTGCCGGTGGGGCCTTGTTCACAACTTTACCCGTCTCCACATCTACCAGAGCAAGCCAACCGGTACTGGTGCTCACAAGACATTGAGTCGAGTTGGTTGGATCAGGACGACTATTGAAAAATGTTATGCAGGTTGGCCGACCAACCGCTTCTTCACTGCCTGCAAAGGTGGAAAAAAGGCGGTCAAAAATAGGTTCAAATTACATCCAACGAGAGAAACGACACATAATACAAACGCGCTCGGGCCATACTCTCCCCCCCCCCTTTCACAATCCTTGCTTCTCTTTCCCCTGATATTCACTTCTCCCCACTTTCCATTGTTGTTGTGCAAATATACCTTGGCCTATTCCTAATTCCCGGAGCATGGACTTTAGGAGTGTGGTTGTCAGTTTCAATCCGATAGCTTAGACGTATACCAGCAACAACAAAAGTGGTTGTCCTTTTACACCTACAATGTATGCCGCCAAAGGCTTTTAAAAGTGAGACAACATCATGGGAATCACTGGTGCAAGCTGTTTGGGTCGCATAAATCGTGAGAATAAGTTGGG